AGTGTTGGGCGGCAAAAAAACTACTTTGATGCTCTTCAGTTCGACTGTACAGTTATGGGCGCTGCAGTTGTCAACAACCATAATTATCTTGCGGTCCTTCGACGTGAAGTGCCGGTCCAACTGCTGCAGCCAGCCGCGAAAAATGTCCAATGTCACCCATGCCTTCCTGTTCGCTGTGTACTCGACAGGAAGGCTTTTGACGTTCTTAAAACAACGTGGCTTAAGCGCCTTCCCGACGACAAGTAGTGGCAAGCGCTCCGTGCCAGTCATATTGGCGGCAAGAAGCACAGTTATCCTTTGCTTGCACTTCTTGCCACCAATGCACGCGTCCCCTTTGAAAGTCACCGTCTTGTCGGGCAGAGCTCTGAAAAATAGAGCAGTTTCATCTGCATTGAACACGTCACGTGGTTCATATGCGGCGATGTGCTCCAGCAGCTTCACATTTCTCCACTCGGTGGTCACGCTTTCGTCAACACTGGCTTTTTCGCCGCACACACTCCTGAAGACAAGTTCGTGTCTCTCTCGAAACCTCGCAAACCACCCTTCTGACGCTTTGAACGATTCAATGTTCATCATTGCAGCGTACTTCTCACCTTGCGCCATGATGAGAGGTCCGCTCAAAGGCAGATGCGCGTTGCGACAGTCAGTAATCCACCGGAGCAAAGCTTCTTCGAGCTGGGGATGAGCTGCGGTTCGCAACCGCTTTCTAGAGGCATGAAACTTCTCGCTTTCGAAGGCTTGTCGAATCTGTTGTTCATTTTTCACGTTAGTTCCCAACGTGCTCCGCTTCACGTTGTACTTGGTCATAACCTGCTGTCGCGATTCGCCGTTTTCAGTGCTTCCAAAATTTCCACTTTAGTCGCCAAGTTCTTCGCGTCGTAGTTCTGCCGCCTTTTCGGCGTTGCCATCACTGTAGCGCACGATGGTGGTGGCATGCAAATACGGTCACAATGGAAGAAGAAGAGAACTCCGCAAGAAGAGATGATTCCGACACGACAACACAAGGGAACATGGCGTCGGAGGCGCTGAGTGGAGAAGAAAGAAGACGCCGACGTTCGGTGATGCAGCGATCACCCCCACTAGTTGATAATGATGGCGATGCCACTCAGGTTTCGGTTTCACTCCAGTGGTGCCAGCGCTGCTTTATCACACTTTTGTGTAGCAGCAGCCGTCAGCATTGTCCTAATTAAGCGGTGCGGAGCCGAATTCCGACGAAATAACGAAGGTTTGGTTCCATAGACTAACATGCACTTTGGCCGGGACCAATAGAGCCGTCCGAATTATCGAAATTTCCGAATTAACGGGTGTTGAATTAACGAGCTTTTACTGTAGCAGTATTCGCTGTGCGTAGAATATTTTTTTTTTTCACCGTACATGAGAAGTGGTTTGGGACCTCTTTTCACCATCTTTGAAACTCTACCTCAGTGGTGGTCCAGCCAGTTTAAAGGGGCACAAAGGCAACTATTAAGTTGATGTTGATTGTTGAAGAGAGGTCCAGAAACTTCATAGTGTTACTTTTGTGCCAAGGAAGGGCTTATTTTGAAATAAAATCACGTTTTAGTGGCCCGAATCGGGTTAGCGAACTTCAAATTACCTGCCCCAAGAAGCATCACTGTTGCAGTGCACAACATTGCCCAGCTTAACTGTGCGGTCACCAACACTAATAGACAGAATGAAAGCAGTGGGAACCACAGCAACAACAACGGCCATTGATCAATTTTCTGCCATATGCTCCGAGATTGCAGACATGTTTTCGTTCAACTGGGCCCCGCTAGATGGCACGAGCTGTCCAGTTTAGCTAAGCGAAAACTGAATTCTTGAACCCCTCACGCCATTCCCCATAGTAATGTCCGGCGGTTCTTTTTTTCATGAATCAAACAGAAACGAACAAGCAGCATTTTATTACACCTATTGATTCACAGAAGGTTCTTAATTTAGTCCAGCTAGATCAATTACTAGTGAGTAATTGTAGGCGGTTCGTCTGACATCACCAATATCATCTTGAGAATTTCCTACTGTCGCACATGTATTCTTGTGCATTTACCTTAATTTCTTGGTAGGTAGGGCACTACTGTCAATAATATTGTCGTTTTAGATGTTTTCATACATTGAGCTTTCACTCTGACATAAATTGTTATTTGACTTTAGTGTTCCTTTAAGATTTGGAGCCCAAAAAATAGTCTTTTGGAGCAGATTCAGAGCAGGAGAATTTGTGTTTTGGAAGCAGGTTTGGAGCAGACAAAACAAATTTAGGATCACTTGAAACATAATACTTCTAAACTTTCGGTGAATATTCTTGTTTGTATACGTACTGGACGTACTGCTGCAATGTAAACAAAAAGGCAAGGCCGACATTTAGAGCGCAGCCATTCATCAAGCTCTTACCACGAAAAAGAGTAATACACTGGTTTTACTGCACTGCACTAGAATTAGTGATAGGCAAGCGTGCACATACAGTTTCTATGAATGACAGGCATGATAATTTCGATCCAAAAAGAAAAAAAATTATAGCAGGAAAACCAGCGGTCTACTGACAACTAAAGATAGAAGATGAAGAAAAATCGTTGCAAACTCGTTGCAAATAGTGTTTGAAATTGCCTGTGCCGATAGTGAACTTTATAATCGCCACAACTTGCTACAGATCAGTTACATTCTCCTCAACAATTGTTAGAGGCATGAGCGCCAAAGGACATTCTGCTTTTTAGTGTCAAGAACTTTAGGTTGAGCACTTCCGATTCTCCAAATATTCTGAAAAAGTCTCATAAGAATAAAAACTATTACAAATCGATATGGCACTTAGTCATAGTTGGTGACAAATCTAAGAATGAAGGGGAGAGATGCTCTTCTTTAACGGAGCCTTGAAGAATACAAGTCCAATTTTCGAAACGTTCGCTTGAGTGACATCCCGTGTTCACACGTTTTTCAACTTAACATCCTATGCAGAAGTGATTGCTGGGTATGAGTACTTGTGCCACAGATGACAACAGACCAGTTAAATAAAGGAGTGACAGGGTTTTTTTTTTTTTTCTAGGAGTCCTGGAGGGGCAGGAGGTGCTTGGTGTAAACAGCCGCAATCCCCCCACCTCTCCCACAATCACCACTCCTTAGGTCTGTTATAACAGGGTTCCTAAGACTGGGCCTGTAGGCCTAAGAAGGACGTTTTAGGGTTCAGCAAGAGCTGAGAACTAATGTGACTAGACTTAATTAACAGTTCTGCTTAGCAGTTTAGACTTAATGAAACCACCACATGGTTCGCTGGGTAGTTGGTGAACAGTGAGAAATTTCCGCGGCAGCGCCATTCAACGCTTGTTAATGTGCGATTTGCGAATGAAAAGTGGCCTGGGAATGAATCAGTTGGAAAGATTTGCATGCCGGGATGACCACTTTCACATTTCTTTTCTTTGTCGATTCGCGACAACACTAATCGTTCTAACGTTTATAATGCGTGGGGGCACTTGTTCTTTATTAGTAGCTGGTTACGCGACTCAGCTCTACATGCGCTGACTTTCCAACGTGTTACAATGGCTTCGCGATCAAGATAAAGACACGTGACGAGCGCTGGGACGTGCGCTAGCAACAGTTGCTCCACATCTTTTGCATGGCCGAACCGTCATTTGCGTGAATACGTCTAGATCGCGCAGTGCCAATAGCTGTCGCCGCATAGGTGCGCTGTCTACATTACGTCGATGACACGATAAACTTTCATCAACGGAAGCACATGCGGCGGCCCAGGTTTTTGTTCGGCTGAATAATGACAAAAAGCGCATCGGTGCAATGGGTTGAAGGGCATCGGCAGCATTATGGAGAAGCTCTAGCAGTGCTTGTTGCCACCAAGCATATTTTTCGGGGGCTCTAGATGGCCCTATGCCTTGTTAACAGGTAGACTAGTGAACTTTGGTGTGGTTGGCGCAATGAGTGAAGCAAGGCACAGGAATAGAGAATGGGCCTTTTTCACGGGCACCATCTGTGCATGCGCACCGGAAAACCCTTCAACGGTGCCACCCCGAAACATTTTTGGTGGCTCGTGGCCTCCAAAACCTGTCAGTGCACCATCTCAAAGGCGATGAATGCAAAGGAAAGCACAAGCTCCTACACTGTCGTGTAGACCGCAAAGCCACCAAATTTGCTTTTGGCTCTCATCACTAAGGGTGCTGTACCTGTCGTGAAAAATTGGTCAATTGTACCAAAATGGCACAATCGGCATAGCTGGACCACCACTGCAACCTCCATGTCCAGAGTAGACAAAGTTACTATGTGTGATTGTATTGTGCCTTTCGAGTAACTAACAACTGATCTGAAAGAGTGTTCACTCTCTTTCTGATTTAAGGCTGGGCCTCCATACACTTAGTGTGGTGACAGTATTTAGCAAAAAAAAAAAAAACTAGGGAGTGAACACATAACTGTGTCCTCTGTAAATAGAGATTAATAAATGTACTCCACCTTTCTCACTGTCCCAATCTGCACCAGAAAACTAATTTTGTGACTATCATTCTAAAGTATGTTTTATACCACTGTCACCACACAGGCACCTTTAACCACTATCACGGTCAATCTGCATGTAGTTATTGATTGCAATACCAAGTTGGGCACTGCTACATGGTACAACCTAATCCAGATAGAGTTTGCTAAAGGTGTCAGCCAAGTAGCAATCCCCAAGTCCGACTGCGATCCCCACATCTCTTTCTCACACACCCCCACACGTTCACAAGCACACACACACACACAGTGAGTGAAAGGAGTTAAACAAAGGGTTGTGGAAGTGGAATCAAAAACCAATCAAAGTACTCTGCAATGTTGTCATGCATAATACCTTATCAGAGAGACCTGACTCTTGCTGTTGAATTGAAAGCATCCACAAAGTTCTCACTTTAGAAGCAAATAATGTGAGAATAAAAGAGCCAAATCAGTGAATGCTGTCACTGACAAAAGGCACTGTAAAGCATGTGTATAATTATACTAACAGTGTTAAGTGAATAGTACAAGAAGTGGACAGCACTTACTGCACTGCTTCTCAGTGAGCAGGTGATCGAAAGGAGCTGTGGTGCTGATGTGCACAATGGTGTGGGCCGTGTGGGTCCCCTGTCGGCTCTTGATGGATGCAGTCCACTCCATGGGGGAGACACTGGATCAGGAGACGAGGCGCAACGGTGACAAGTTGGGGGTTTTGGGTAAGTTAAGAAGATGACACCCTGAAGCACAAGGCCCACAAGCAAGCTCTGCACTAACCTATCAGTACGTCCACTGACAAGCTGCTAAATACAGTGCTCGACAACGTCACTGAAGAGCTCGTAGAGGCTCATTTGACTCATCAATGGGTACAGCTTTCTACCACGATTACGGGCCAACAGACAGGACATTATGCGACACTGCAGCACCCATCCCAAACAATAGCCTTGCTAGCCAAATGCATACAAAGCCAGATCCTGGTTCACCTGTTACCATGAAATCATGTCCTGTATTACACAGGAAGACGGGTTTCAAAGGCTAGAATCCTCGCCAAACAGTACGGCAACCATCCTCTAGCTACTTACACCAGTGCGGCTTGTATACCAGTCGGAGAGCTTCCGCACTCACTATCGTCATCGCTGACGAAGTGGCCAGGCTTGGGAGGTGTGCAGATTTATTACAAGCTAATTTTATGAATCACGCATGGAAATGCCTAAAAGCTTTCCACAAGCAGTGGACGATTTGTGCGTGGTCTCCGCACGCATGTGCAAATCATGCTGGAAATGAAAAGCAAAATACAGTGAATACAGCCAGCAGCATCGAGGAGTATGTAATGTTCATGAGCTGGTGTGCAGCACTAAACTTGGCTGTTTCCAAAAGTGACGTTGCATGGAGGAAGAAAACCCGAGGAGAGGCCCTCGCAATATGAGCTGCAGAGTGAAAATGTGGCGGAAGTGACGTGATTTTGCAGAGGTTTGTCAGGTTCCCTTGCATCGTCTGCATCACTACCCTTATGACTGTATTGTTGAGAAAGTCGGCTAAAGCACCGAATGCGCATTTTTATGCGGCTGTTGCACTTAAAAAATTATACGATGTGTTAGAAGACTACAGTGAGCGTTGGCCTTCACGGTTGAGAGCTTAGTTCATATCACTTAAGGTCGAAAGCGATTGTTTTTGAAGCTCGCTACCGTTTCTCTGAATATGGCTGGTGCCACGGCTTTGCCGTTTTCCTTTGGCACTGTGACGTTACATGCCTCAGTGATGGAAGGCTAGAATTCCAAGATGAGAACAGCAGCGCCTACGGCTGTTCACGTGAGAGGCGGCGGTGACCTGCTCCCGTGTACGACGATTCAGAAACCATTGGCCCAGTGTGCTCCAGAGTAAGAAGATTTATTGTTAGAATTATCGCATCCTGTTTAGGTTTTGCACACGGTAACCCAACAATGTATTCTTTGATATCGCCGCAGTCGGCCAACCCCCGCTGCTGCGAATGATACTTGTTCAAACATACTGTGACAAACACGAGCAAAAGAATGATTCTGAGGTGCTTCATCTTGCTAAATACAGGGGTGCAACAGCAGGAAAAGAATTTCCGGCTGTTGCACCCCTGTATTTAGCAGAAATGGCCGACACCTTAAAGTTATTAGCGACCATCATTCACTTTGCTGGTTAACTAATCTAAAGGATCCCACCAGCCGATAAGCGTGTTGGAGTCTAAGGCTGCAAGAATTCGACATGACCGTCGTACACAAGTCGGGGAAGCGACATACGGACGCTGACTGCCTGTCCCAATCACCAATACAGTCAACTTCCCAACCTGATGAAGATGAAACTGCATTTCTTGCGGTGCTCAATACGTCTACCATCGCCCAACAATAACGTGACGACCCTGAGCCGCTTGGTTTGATTAATTACTTGGAAAGACGATCTCGGAATGCACCCAAAGTTTTTACAAGAGTATTGTCGTCGTTTTCCATGCGAAATAGCGTTGTGTACAAAAGAAATTTTTCATCGATTGGATCTCCCTACTTGCTCGTCATTCTGCAACCCTCCGTACCGAAGTGTTTCAAGCATGTCACAACGAGCTGACTTCTGGTCACTTAGGCTACACGTGCACATTGGGGAGAGTTCAGCAAAGATACTACTGGCCAAGGCTCACCACTGCCGTCAAGTGACACATTCGCACTTGTTTGGACTGCCAGCGACGTAAGCCTCCTCCAATGAAACCAGCCGGCCTGTTGCAACCTGTTCAGGTCCTAAGTACACCATTCGATCAGATCGGAATGGATATCTTTGGTTGCCTACTTCCTACTTCGGCTGCAGGGAACCGCTGCGTCATTGTCGCGACAAACTACCTTACCCGCTACGCTGAAATGAAGACTATCCAACGAAGCACAGTAGCGGAGGTAGCCAAATTTTTCATAGAAAGTGTTGTATTGCGACATGGTATACCCACCGTTGTGATAACAGACCGCGGGACCACATTCACGGCAGCTCTTCTTGAGCACGTCTTGATGTTAAGTGGATCAAGCCATCGAAAGACCACTGCCTACCACCCGCAGATGAACCGACTGACAGAGCGCCTAAACAAGACAATTGAAGATATGCTGTCGATGTACATGGACGTTAGACATAAAAATTGAGACAAAATCTTACCCTATACCCTGTTCGCATACAATACGGCTAAACAATAAAGGACTCGCATGACTCCATTCAGCCTTATTCACAGACGGGAGGTATGAACAATGCTTGATGCCATGTTACCACATGAACGAGATGACAATGACACAGGCGCTGACATATTTACCAAATGCAGGAAAGAACGACGATAGTTATAGCGCGCGAACAAAACGACGACACAGAGACAAGGACACGAAAGACTCTGTGTCGTCGTTTTTTTCTCGCGCTATAACTATCGTCATGCCATGCCAACTAGCCCAAGCTGCCACACTTTTAAGCAGGGAAGAAGCCAGGCAGCTCACATGCTTGCGAATCCGCCAGCAACAATATTACGGCACAGGTTGCTACAATGCCCACCGGAGAGCAATTACCTATGAAGCCGGTGAGCGAGTGTGGGTTTGGACACCCAAACGAAAACGTGGACTGTCCGAGAAACTTAAGGCGATACTTCGGATCGTACAGAGTATTGCAAAAGTTGAGTGACGTCACCTACGAGGTTGTCCCCGACAGTTCCTCTTGCTCCATACATCAACAGCAACGGCCTCAACTTGCACATGTGGTACGCATGAAGCCATATTTCAGTGACTGACTTTGCAATTTCACACATTGGTAACTCGAATGTAGCATCGGGGCGATGCTCCTATAAAGAGGGGCAAGTGAAACGTGTATATACGTATAAAAAAGAACGACAACGGAGGTGCTTTGCAGACTCCAGGTAGCGGGACTGTAGCTTTGGCAGAAGAATACGAAGAGGGCGTTCCGGGTACAGCTCATTCTGAAACACGCTGTTTCGCTGTTGCAAGTTGTTTCCATATTTTGTTCTCGCTACACCGCGACAATATCAGCAGCGAATATAGCTAGAAAGGTATATTAAATTAATTTTGAAGTTTGCGTGAGCACTCGACTCCATCGTGCCATTGACAGCCTTGAAGGGAACCCTTTGGGGACCCCCAACTTGCCTCACGCCACCACACTGCCGTTAAAAAAGAAACAATTTATGATTAATTCATAGCTGCCATTTTCTTTTTACTGCGCTTGTTACTGCAGCCTGTACTTCTCAGTGGCTTGCCGAGAGCGCGTCGCCGTGGCGCACGCTTTGAAAGTTTTGTGCTTGACGACACTGCAGTCCCGTTTGTTATTCGAAAGTAATTATTGATGCGAACCGTGTGGAAGTGTGTCACAGTTTTGCGTGCTGATGGGGTCGAGAGCTGCACACACTAGGTGGCGATAGTTCCACCCGAGGACTTAACATTTTTCATCATCCGCAGTTGCCTTCTGACAAAATTCATCCCAGTCTTAGGCACATGAGAGGCCCTGCACATCTTGGTGGCTTTCAGCTGCCCATGCTGTTGTTGCCAGTAGCGAATACAAAACTTGTCGACCCGCGCAGTGCCTACTGGATGCCCTGTTGCCGTTGTTTAGAGCATGATCAATCACTTTTAGCTTGAAAGCATCTGCAACTTTTGTATTATGCCATTGTACCACAAACGGACACAACATACACTAACCCCAGCTAACACGCCACAACACGCATGCCTCTTTTCACATGTCTTGGATTAGATTGGAGCTCCGTGCGTTGACAATACCACAGCCTCATAGGTTTTCCTTGCCTGCCGAATGAGCGTGAAAAGTCCGTCGTCTAGAGTGGTGCCATTTAAGTAGGGAAAGATACCATAATGAAGGAAAGCGCCAACTGCCATCAGGCAGTAGGCAACTACGTCACAGCGAGCAGCCCCAGAGTTTTCACAGCAGCAGAAGATAACCGAAGTTTACCGCACTCTCGTGATATGATGGTTTATAACAGCGGTTGCGGGTGGTGGCAGACGTGTTTCCTTGTTTTTGGAAGTCAGAGATTTGAACAGATCATCATGACTGTTTCACTGTTTTCTCTAAATTTTTCATCATAGCTTTATCTCTGAAAATGCAAAGTTTACGTTTTCAAAGTCAGGACTTGACACTACAGCACTGAAATAATGTAAGTATTTGCCACTGAAAAGGATTGAATAGTGCTGTGTCACTGTTACATTTACTTTATTATATAGCTGAAAAATCATATTTGCGAGATGTTTCAGCGCGTGAACAAAGGAAAAAAGGACAGGGTAGACAGAAAGAGCGCTGCGCTCTTTCTGTCTACCCTGTCCTTTTTTCCTTTGTTCGCGCGCTGAAATATCTCGCAAATATGACTACGTACCAACTAGCCCAAGCTTCCACTCTTCTGAAAAATCAATGTGTGCACTGAAATTGTGCTTCTTGCATATAGTGCATTCAATTAAAGTGCAATTACGATACTCCAGTGCAGGCCATCTACTCCAAGCCAACAAAATCCTACCTGTTCGTAAGTTATTTTTTTATAGCATAGCCGTTCTTCTGTTTCAATTGCGCAATGCACTGCTACCGTTTGAGTTCATTGATTCAGTTTTCTTACAAAACAACAATGTAACCAGATTTGCAATGAACCTTAACTTTTTGCTACCCGCGTCGCGCACAAATTATGGA